ATTACCAGAAGCTTTGGCAACATCACTAATGTAGATAGAGAATAGATTAGAATAGAAATAGCAAATGGTTCTGACAAGACGTTTTTAGTCCTTAGCTGATGGACACGACTAGTTAGATAATTGACAAACTAATCAGAGCAAGAAGGAGACGGGCCAATGCTAGTTAGTTTGTGCAACAGGATATTATGGTCCACTGAGTCGGAAGTCTTTGTGAGATCAGTGAAGGCATCTATGTTTGCAGACATGGTTACTGACTAAAGCAGTGATAATATCACCCAAAACTGAAATGTCAGATGCTGCATGTGATGCTTTGAGGTTATCATGGTAACTATGCACTGCATATAGCTGCGGTCAGGCAGACTGAGATGTAAAACTGTTTATCAAAGAAATATGTATTTTTATTGAGAAAAAAAAGATCCTGAACCATTAAAGCCATACTGTGCAACTTCTTCATGTTTTTGAATCATTTTCTTGAGCCAGTATGTGCTAAAATGACCCTTTACATGGTTAATGAAGTGTAAGTCAGACCCCTACCGCCCTCTGTGTTTCGCAGATACTGCATTTGCATCTTCAGAGTGCCCGTCCATTCTGTTGGACTTAGAAAAAGTTGAGCTGACATACCTGTCACTGCAGTCTGCTTCCAGCATGTTTTAAATCGTGAACACAGCTGATTTGTTTGATTGAGTAATGAACCGCTCCTGTAGAAGAAGAAAAGATCTTTTCTATAGCGCCTCTCAAGATAAAAATCACGAGGCGCTTCACATAAACAAAAATATAAAAAATAATTTAGAAAATGATTAAAAATATATTTAAAATGAGCAAAAAATAGATAATTGTGATTAAAAATGTAAAGAGAGAGAATGAATAGGAAAGACTAATGAAAGTTGATGAGACATTTCAGCAGTTAGATTAAGGTGTTAAAAAGACGAACGCACAGCGAGTAGTTAAGTTTCACGTTTGGTTCTACTAAATGGGCACTAGGAGGTGCTAAAACAAGCCAAAACTTCCAATTCTATTCAATTCAATTCACTTTGATTCAAAAATACTTTAATAATCCCAGAGGGAAATTGACTGCTGTAGCAGCTCAGAATAATAATAATCAAGTCATCAAAGAGTTATTGTATATTACAATGGCTGTTGGCAGGAAGGATCTCCAGTAGCGGTCGGTGTTGCAGCGAAACTGAAGAAGCCTCTGACTGAAGACACTCTTCCGTCAGGGTTGTCAATAATTTTCTTGATTCTCTGGAGAATCCTTCTTTGCATTATCTCCTCCAGTGGTTCCACAGTCGTTCCCAGAACAGAACCAGCCTTTTTTATTAGGCTGTTGAGCCTTTTCAGGTCCCCGCTTCTGAAGCTACTACCCCAACAGACGATGGCTGAAGAGATTACACTCTCAACAACAGACTTGTAGAAGATGTGCAGCATCTTGCTACAGACATTTCAATTCCATTCAATCCAAAAATACTTTATTAATCCCAGAGGGACATTGATTAAAGAAGGAAATTGACATTGAAGGACCTAAGCATCCACAAGAAGTGCAGTCTGCTGTGTCCCTTCTTGTAAACGGCTTCGCTGTTCTTTCTCCAGTCCAGTCTGTTGTCCAGGTGAACTCCAAGGTATTTGTATTCCTCAACCACCTCCACTTCGTTTCCTATGATGGAAAAAGTGTTTGACTCCACCCCGTTTCTTCTGAAGTCTAAAATCATCTCCTTTGTTTTGTTCACGTTCAAGGTCAGATGCTTGTTTCTGCACCATGCCACAAAGCGCTCCACCAGCTCTCTGTACTCAGCTTCCTGTCCATCTCTGATACAGCCGACGACTGCAGAGTCATCTGAGTATTTCTGTAGATGACAGGTCTCGGATTTGTACTGGAAGTCTGAGGTGTACAGGGTGAAAAAGGATTGGTGAGAGTACAGTCCCCTGTGGTGCTCCAATGTTACTGATTGCCTGGTTTGATGTGCAGTTCTTCAGCCTCACAAACTGTGGTTTGTTTGTCAGGTAGTCTTTAATCCAGGCGATAGTTGAGGCCCCCACCTGTGTCTTCTGGAGTTTCTGGCAAAGTACATCAGGCCGGATTGTGTTCAATGCACTGGAGAAATCAAAGAACATGACCCTCACAGTGCTGCCTGCTTTGTCCAGATGACAGTGGGTTGGTTGATGCAGCTGGATGATGGCATCTTCATCTTCAAGGCAATAAGCAAACTGCAGCGGGTCCTGATATGTCCTAGTTTGCTTATTCAGGTGGACCAACTGGAGTCTCTCCAGGACCTTCATGATGTGGGATGTCAGGGCAACCGGTCTGTAGTCGTCATTGACTGATGGGTGGGTTTTCTTTGGAACTGGAACAAGGCAGGATGTCTTCCACAGGACTGGAACCTTCTCCTGGGCCAGGCTGAGGTTGAAGAGGTGCTGCAGAATCCCACAGAACTGCTCTGCACAGGCCTTCAGTACCCTGGGGCTGACACCATCTGGACCTGCGGCCTTGTTCCTGTTCAGTCTCTCCGTCTGCCCCCTCACCTGACTTCTAGAGACAGATAGGTGGGAGGGGGATATAAATGGGGCAGCAGCATCTCCTGACTTGGTTGAAGACAGATTTATAGAACCAGAAGAGTCCATGACTGCGTTAGAGGACAAAAGAGCTGGCGTGTGACAGGAAAATGTTGGATCAGAGGAGGATGGGATGTCTGATTGGCTGGGGACAGGCAAGGAGGATGCTGGGTTTGTTCCTGAATTGAACCTATTGAAGAACTTGTTCAGTTCATTGGCTTCTTGTCACAGGTTGCCTCTGAACAAGTGGTTTGTATTCTGAGCAGAGAAAAACAAGATTGTGATCTGATAGTCCCAGAGGAGGACGTGTTTTGAACATGTCTGCATTCTTTACATTTGCATAACACAAATCCAATGTCTTGTTTTCTCTGGTGGAGCAGCTGTCAAACTGATGAAATGTTCGAAGTGTAGCAGAGAGCGAGGCATGATTGAAATCACCAGATATAGCCACAAATGCATTGGGGTGCTGGGTTTGTAGCTTAGCGACAACGGAACTGATGGCATCACATGCACTTTCAGCAATGGCTGAAGGTGGAATATAAACGGTTGCCAAGACAACACTGGTGAACTCTCTTGGCAAATAATATGGGCGACAACCCACTGCCTAGCGTTCAACATCTGGGCTGCAGAGATGACATTTCACTGAAACATGACCTGGATGGCACCATCCGTTGTTGACAAGCACTGCCACTCCACCTCCTTTTCTTTTCCCGCTCCTCTTCAGATCTCTGTCTGCTCGTACAGTCAGGAATCCTGGCAGAGAGACGCTGGAATCGGGGATATGGTCCTGCAGCCACGTCTCACTGAAACACATAACACTGCACTGCCGATACTCTGGCTGAGTCCTTGAAAGGGCTTGGAGTTCCTCCATCTTGTTGGCCAGTGATCACATTATGATCGATGGAAAAGATGGTTTGAATTTCCTCTTTCTCTGTCTCCGTTTTGCTCCCGCTCTGCACCCACGCTTCTTGCGTTTTAGCTCATTTGGGATTTGTGGCTTCAGTTGAAGTATTATTTCAGCCTTTCCAATGTTAATAAGCTGCTCCCGATTGTAAATCAGCTTGTTGCCATTGTTACGCATCATAACAAATGCACAAAAAGTGAAAAAATAGCAGTAAAAATCCTCCAAGCTTCACAGCACCAGAAACAGAACAGTAAAATGTCCAAAAAACACCGTTTTTCTTGAGAAACTAGAAGAAAAAATGTCCAAGATAAGGTAAAACTTACATATAGTCAACAGAGCTACTCCAACATGCAGCCACCCAGAGCAGCGCAGTTCTGGAATCATTTGTGCAAGTGTGCTTTAAGTGGTAAGCGTGTGAGGTAGTTACACATGTCAGTTTTTTTCGCTAAGGTGTAGCAAACATGACAAAGACTCACTCACTGCATAACGCAGTTCTACCAAAGGCCACAGTCTTGGCGCACCATGCGAGATCGAGCTGCACACTTTGAAGCTCCTGTGTTTGTGTGCTCGTAGCAAATAACAAAACCATCACTGAAATTAAAGTTAACAGGTAAGTAGCAGTAAAGATGCTTCAATGCTCAAAAACTGGCACCCTTGACAGATTTCACTCCTATAAGAATAGTTTTTGTCATGAATTGCTTCATTGCTTTAATAAGAAAAAGAAAAAGTAGCAGGAGAAACGGTAGGAGCATGTCTTACAGCTCAACAGAGAGCCTGTTTGTTCTTCTGATAACGGCAGCTTGCATCCTGCAATAACAAGCAACTGTGATAAAATGGAAGGGATGAAGAGATCTCTGCTGTAAGATGGTGCAAGTTCATCAGGCAAGTTCATAAGATATTTTTCAATCAAAGTAACAGAATAATGGAGCATCTGCTGCAAAATCCAAAATAGCTCCCATTTAATTATCATTTTTGCAAGCTAGCCAAAAAGCAGGATGTTCATCAAAATTAGAAGTGTAGAAGCAGCTGTGTCTATTGTTGTTTTCACCTTTAACAGTGACTGATCTGCTGGTTCTGCCTGGTTTCATTTGGACCCATTTCACAAAGCTCAGATTTTGGCTTTGTCTACAAATAGAGTCTTGCTTCACTGCAGCTCCTCCAGCTCAGATAACAAACACAGTTCCTGTTTTCTGCTCTCCTATCTTCTGCTGCAGTAGCCTCCTCCTCCTCCCAAATCTCTCCCAGGCTGCATACCAAAGGGTGAAATCAATTAGTCTCACAGTGGTTAGTTAATTCTGATGCACCTCCCTCTGGTGGCAGACTGCATTAAAAACATCAGAAAGTGTTGATTTGAACAGAATTAGCATCTATATTAAAATAGTCTTCAATCTGACAGCATGCTAACTGAATTTAGTTGTTTTTTTTTATTTAGTTTTTTGCATTTAGTTATGAATTTTCTCATTTTCTAATTTGAGCTTTCCCAAGTGCATACATACATTTTACACTGATGTTGTTCATGTTAAATTATTTCTTTCCATTTCTTCTCCAGAGGAATCATCAGAGACAGTGAAGGTTGCATCGTATATCCTCATTGGAGTGGGGTCCCTGTCAATGGCCATGGGCTTCTTTGGCTGCATTGGAGCCATTTATGAAATCCGTTGTTTGTTGGGTCTGGTGAGTAGTTTTACTTTCTGATGTTTCACACTGCAGATTAATTTAACTAACACAGGTTAACAGTCCTCACCATAGAGTGACTAACTCAGCAGATCATCCTAACCACACAGGAAACATCCATTCTGTTGTTTATTTGGTAGAAACTGCATAACTCCTTCATGCAAAGGTGCCCGCCTGGGCTCTAAAGCATGATGGTTAACAACAAGTGATAGATTCCTGCTGACAGGGAAGGTTTTCAACACGCCTGTTAACTTGTTGGGGTTGGGGGCTCGCAGCAGGTGTGGATTTAATCACAGGAGGGTGGTGCCAGGGATAGACGAGGGGGGTTACAACCAGAGCATGGATGACCTCCACAGAGCTAAGCCTGTGGGGGGTTAACTAGCTGACCTACTTCTCAGAGTGACAGTGACCAGCTGGCAGCAGACCCCCCCCCCCCCCCCCCCCCCATCATACACAATTATTCTAGAAGACATATTTAAATCTGGAGAGAGATCCTACATCTCCACATTTTAGATCTATAATGTAAATCTGTATTTAATTAGAGAAACAGCATTTAAAGGGATACTTAACAACTTTTTTATATTTTGAAATTATTTTCTTGAGCCAGAATGTGCTAAAATGACTTTTTACAGGGTTAATGAAAGACCACCCAGCCCCTATCGCCCCCTGTGTCCAGAATATTTCACCAACTTCAGACTGGCAGGCCACTCTGTTGGGACTTAGAAAAATTGAGCTGACATACCTGGTGCTGCAGTCTGGTTTCCGAAAGTTTCCTGTATGTTTTAAATCCTGGACACAGCTAGAAACTGACAAATGCACAGCGAGGAGATAAGTTTTGCTTTCAGTTCTACAAACAGACACGTTGTAAGGGACTCATTTCACTTCAATCCAGCCTTTTCCTTCTTTAGTTAGTTTTTTGGTCAACGTTTCTATAATGTGTTTTATTATAGTGTGTTTCTTCATCCTTCCACAGTACTTCACCTGCCTCCTCCTCATCCTCATCGCTCAAGTCACTGCTGGAGTTCTGATTTACTTCCAGAGAGATCGGGTAAGATGTTTTCTCCACTTTAGTTGATCTCTTCCTCGTTTTCCAATTTCACGGTACTGATGAGCTAACGGCTAGTCTTAGTACAGCCAAGCCTAGGGCTGAGTGATCTATCGATTTTGGACTGACACTGCAATTTCAAAAAACGCGATCATGTGATCGTCAAAGCTGTGGTTTTTGTAGTGCTTCGTATGCGGGGATACCAGTACTGTAGCTGAGCTGCGCATTTTGGTTATTTTCCCGTTTTTTTTTTTCCTCACGTAATTAATGTGAGTGTCTGTCTTTGCTGCGAATGTTCGGTTCGTCTCTCAGCACAGTGGGTGAGTGACAGAGAGAGAGAGAGAGAGAGAGAGAGAGGCTGATTCTCCAGCAGCTGAGCAGGATTTACCATAATAACACCAAGTGGACTTTAAAACTAGGAATGTGCCGTTCTGATATTGATATTGGATATCGGCCCAAAAACACTGTATCGGATTATATCGGACTGCATCAAAAGTCTCCGATATTAGCAGTACGTTTCGCTTTAAATTCCATTCCAGCAATTCTATCCATCAGCTCCCAGATCCAGCATGCAAAGTTCACGTGATCAGAACAGTGTGTGCTAGCAAAGTAGCAAGAAACGATGTCGGCCATATGACTGCATTTTTCGTTAAAGTCAGGAAAAGACATTTTGGCTCAGTGCAACACTTGTCATGCACAAGTTTCCCGTGGTGGAACAGAACCGGGGAAGATTCATACATCCAACCTCATCGTGCGTTTGAAGCAGGATCACAAAACGTTGCATGAGGATTTTCACAATGTGTGTGAAATTGAAACTTTAGACTTTCAACTTGTAGCAGTTGGTCAGTGAACAATATTGTGTTTTTTCCTTACGCCCCTAACCTCAGCTGTTCACATATATGCAACCAAAGGTTAATAAAATATTGGTCAGTTTTGTTATACTTATTGTTGCTGGCTTTTGTTTTCTGTTTGAGTAAAATCACTTCATCAAGCCTTTTATACATTCCACACTATGAAATAGGTAAAAGTATGTATGATTTGTGCTGATGTCATATTGGTATCGGTCAGTACTGAAGGCTGCAATATCAGTATCGTACCGGAAGTGAAAAAAGTTGTATCGGGATTTAAAATGTGACTTCTTTTTCTAATTATTTTAACATTAGTGCAGAACTAAAACACCTGACAGATGGACATTTTGCCCTAAACAGTGGTTTGTGAGACCAACAAACAGCTGAAATAAGCCTGCATCTCACTGCAGTTCCAGCTTCACGTTCACAACCACCCGTCTCTTAAAGCAACAGTCACATTAGTCCACACTCACAATAACCCCCTGCACATACTTTCTTTATTTAGAGTTATGTTTTCTGGTGTTTCATAATAATTCTATAATGAACTGAAATGATTTTCTGAACAATTATGCTGGTTTATTTTCTGATCAGAGGAACTGTGTAAACCTCATGATAGAAAATGTTTAGCAAAACATTCACATTGATGGTTCTTTTTTTAATTATTTCAACAGATTATTGTCATAATAAAAATATGTATAACATATAAAGGTCAGAGGTCACTAAAAACTCATTGGTAAATAGGTACAAATCTGAAGCCCACGAGGATAAGAACAACATATTTTTGTAAAGCATCACTCTAGATAAAAATCAGAAATTACTTCACAAGCAAGTTAAAAAATTAAAAAAGGTTGAAAAAAGGTAATAATGGGAGAAAATTGATAGCTTTCAATGTTTTATGGTATCATTTATTAGCCTGGCCTGCCCGACTCATCCTCTGTTTAATTCTGCACAGAAAGAGTCTGGGAACTCTCCTATTCAAATAACCCCACCCCCTGAGAATTCTAACCGAGCCAATCAGCACTGAGTATCGTACGTCACACACCACAACGGCGAGTTTGTCATAAACATGGTGACTGAAGAGGAGTTTGCTACAGCTCTTTCCTTTGTTCTAAATGATTTGAACATGTCTTTAAAACCACAACAAGTAGAAGCGCTAAAAGCATTTCTTCTAAAGAAAGATGTTTGCGCTGTCGTCAGACTCCATTTTTATTACAGCAAAAAAAAAAAAACTACAGCGTCGCGGATGTCACACACAGCAACGCTCAGTTCTCATAAACAACGAAGACAGCGGGCGGAGTTCGCTGCGACTCTTTCTTCTGTTCTAAATGACTCAAAGGTCTTTAAAACCACAAGTAGAAGCGCTACAAGCCTTCTAAAAAAAATAAAAGACGTTTGTGCCATTGCCAGACGCTATTTTTTTTACTACAACTAGAAAACTACAGCGTCGTGCGGTGCAGTCGGGATTTCCGTCTTTTTTCTGATTGGTCATTTTTGAGCTGCCTAGTCCCGCCCCTCAAGTGCCTCTCTGCCTGTGAGTTACCAGATTCATTCTCTGTGTAGAATTAAACAGAGGACGAGTCTGGCAGGCCAGGCTAATGATTTATATGACTATGTTGTAAATTATGTGGTCAACCTTGATTTGAAGAAAATCGTGAATTGAACTGGAATCCCAATTTTTCCTAGAAAAATCTCACTTCAATCTTATCCTAAAATCTTTCAGCCCTAGCCAAGACCAAGCTAATGTTTATGTTTCCCTTAAAAATGCTTTGGTCTCCTTACATTTACGGTGTTTTATCCAATTGTTGTTCACTTCAGACTGCTGTCAGTATTGCTCATCAGTTCTGTTGGATGTAAAACACACTCCTCTGCCACCCTCGCTCTCCACCTTACCTTACCATTTCATTTCATTTATATATTAGATCCCCATTAGCTGCTGCTTCATACAGCAACTGTTCTTCCTGGGGTCCACCTTTCCTTCCACCGGTACACGTCTGCCTACCAGGTGTTGAAGTTTTTTTTTGCCACAGCTGTGACTGGTTGGTTCTAGGTGTTCAGTTAACACCCGTCACAGACCCACAGCATCCTGTCATGAAACAGTTTCACATTATCAAATGAAAAGTGACAGGATGTCAGTTTGTAACTGATACACCTTCAGATCTGAGGTGAGATGATGTCAGTTGACTGAAGGAAGCAACAAACTGATTCTTCTTCTTGAATTTTTTTCCATCCTGGTTTCTTCTACGGGAGTTTCAGTGTTAAAAAAAGCTGCTTTAAGACATTAGGATTACAAACAGGTCACTTTATGTTGAGAAGGATATTGTTATGGTACAAAAAAAGAAATAAAAACATTTTGTGAATGATGGAACACTGCCCCCTATAGATGGAGTAACTTAAAAAAACAGCGTCTAAAGTAGAGTGAAGAGTTGGATCAATAAGACTCAGAAAAGTGTAGAAACGGGTAAATACCTCTTTTTGTTCAAGTTTTGGATAAACTGTTTACAACACAACAAATGAGTTAATATGTTGGAGTTTTATGGATTTTACATGACAACAACTATAAAAAAGGAAAACAAAAAGCAAGCAAGTGCTCCTGAAACAATCATTTCAGAAGAAATATGAAGGAAAAACAACTTACTTTCTGCTTCACTTCCTGTTTCGTTTAAATCCTCGTAGATTACTTTTGCACTTTAACCCTCCTGGCTGTGTTTGACAAAACTCTTTATAAACCTTCAGACCTTTATTGTGAAAATCTGTTTTTCTAAAACTCCATCCTGTGTTGTCAGATAAACCATAGCTGCTGCTGGCTACCAAAGAGGGGGTTTATTTATGCAAGACCATCTAATTAACTAGAGTGGGTGTTGTGTTTTATTTTGGTGGGGAGTTTTCTGTTTGAACACATCCACGCTTCTCCAGATGAGCTTGTGTGAATGTGTGTGCTCTGGTATAGGCTCAAACATGCACACGCACACACACACTCCCTGTGTTTAGCACTCACCACAGGCAGAGAGGTGGCCTTTCCAAGAATAGGGTGAAGCTCTCACTCTTTTTGTGTAGAGCTGCGTCACAGCACTCCCTCTGCATTTTTTACGTTCACAAACGCAGTCAGCCTCTCTCTGAGATGTGTGTTTACCATGTTTCAGCCCAACGTGAGGCTTATAAACCACAGTGAAGGACTTGGTGTGTGTATTTTTTTTCAGTGGTGTCATTCTGCTACACACAAAATATGTCTGCTCTTTACTGTTGAACTGCTGATCTTTATAAAGAATTCCACAGACTTAAATCCAGTCAGATGATTGCGTAGAAAATCTTGGCTTCTCCAGAGATGGGTTCAGCAGAGTCTCAGTGAATGGACTGAGGTGAAGGATTACATCAGTCAGGAGAAGAATAACAGATTTAGACTTTATGGGGAAAACAAATAAGGGTTTCCTCAAAGTCAGAAGTATTATTTTTTCTATTAGAGACCAATCATTTATTTATTGTAATCTGAACCTGTCAGTCTGCAGGATGTACTTACTTCGATTAGTTCTCTGAGACCCTTTTCACCGTGAATGATGACTCCCCTATGAACTCCACAGACATTTACATTGTGGATTAAAGGCGTAGTTCACTGAAAAAACATTTTTTAATAATTATTTCTGATTATAATCAGTCACTCTGAGTTTTTTATGCAGGCGGAACATGAAAATATTCTCCTACAGCTATCTCCTGCATTAGCTTCTGATAGAAAATAGAGGGTGAAATGCTAGGATTTGAAAAGCCTGACAACGTGACATCACAGTGTCACTTAACATTCATGGACTCACCCATCTTGACTCATGACAGAGAAGGTTGTAGGTTTAGTGTTCAGGAAACAGGAGAGAACATTTTGACCTTGTGGAAGCTAACTGTTAGCATTAGCAAGTCCACCACACAGCAGAACTCCTTCAGACTTGTGTTATTTGTTTAGATAAAACATCAACGTTGCAAAGCAAACAGAGCTTTATCACACTTAATGTAGAGCCCGTTGTGTTCTTAACATGGCCTTATTTTGAGCTCTGGTTGTGACTCATCATTGTGGAGCTGGGAGCGAATGCTCATATGCAGCCCAGGGCTTCCACCGAAGCTCCCCTTCCGGTCTGTGGACAGCTGCTCTTTCTCAGCTCTTTAGTAGAAGGGTAACAAACAAGATAATCAGAGTCCTTAAATTAGCAAACCTAAACCTAAACTAACTGAATAGGTGGAGTGATTTTTTTTCTTTATCAAACTGAAAGCTCCCGAACAAAAAAAAGGTTTACATAATTTTCTAACGTTGATCATTGTCCTCTTTTTTCTCTTCAGTTGAAATATGAGATGTCCACCATCATTAAGGGCCTAATCATCAGCTACACGGGTCAGAACAAAACCACAGAGCAAACTTGGGACTACATTCAGAAGACGGTGAGTCGATATTTGTGTGATGCACTGAGAACAGACCTAACGTTAGCAAACAAAACTACTAATAAAATACCCATTTAGCTTTTCTGTAAGACCAAAAAACACTTCAGTTTAACTGGGTGCAGAAAGAAAATTCCTCTGTAAAATATTATGTAATTATCATGCAGAACATGCCCAGTTAAACATTTAAAAATTATTATTTCTGATTTTTCATGCAGGCTAAGCATAAAAATAGTCTCCTACACCTATCTCCTACTTTAGCTGCTGATAGAAAACAGACGGTGAAACTCTAGGATTAGAAAATCCGGACAGATCTACGTCACACTGTTACTTAACATTCATGGACTCATCCATCTTGACTCACGACGGGGAAGGCTGTTGTTGGTTTAGCGACCAAGAAAGAGCAGAAACTCTCAGCTAGTAGAAGCTAACCGTTAGCATTAGCAACTCCACCACAGAGCAGAACTCCTCCAGGCTTGTGTTATTTGTGAGGATAAAACATCGACGTTGCAGAGCAAACGGTCAGTGGTGACGTTGGGTTGATGTTACCAATCTGAGGAGCAATGCCAGGAAATAAGAATCCAAATCCTGTCGTCTGAAGTTTCTTTCTCCTCTAGCTGACTTCTTCTTCCTGAATCAGGTGCATCTGAGACCCCTCCCTCCCCGAGTACGACTTACAAGGCATTCACTCCTACCAGAAACCACTGTAAATGTATTGATTAAAAGAGTGTTCCCCACCATTAGATGTATAAACCACAACACCACTTTTCCAAATCTAAATAACTGCAGTCTGAAAACAAACGTGTAGCTAGTGAAGATGTCAAACTGTACATTCATTTAGGATCATTGAAGTATTTGAGGCAACTCTCTAAAAGTAGTTAACAAAGTTATTTCAGGATATGTGGCTTTAGTGTGAGCTGGATTCTTTATTGTGAACCAGTTTTTAGTCGCTCTTTAAAAATATGTTTTTTTCTCTTTCACTCGTGGGTTTTTTGGCTCACATTTCCAGGCTTCTTTCTTGAAAAATTAGGAGGAAAAAAACAAAAAAAGGTTGCTAAGTATCTCTTGTTTATGCCACTCATTTTGAACCAAGCTCAGCAACTTTCCACTGGAGCAGCATTGTGATGCAGAAGTATTTGACACAAAGCCTTTGGGCTGCATGTGTGTGCATATTAAGAATAACTGAGGCCTTGAGAAAGTCGTTACTGAGTTTGAGTGATCTCGGTGCTTGAGGCCGCACAAAAACGATTTTTTTCCACTTTGATTGTGTTTTTATGCTGACTTGAGAACTTTCTGCAGGAACAGCTCCTGAGAGATTTTGTATGTTTCTACCCTTTAGATGAACCGATTCTGAGCTTATCAGCTTCATATCGCTTCACTTTGTCTCGCCCACTTTCTTTTGTTCTCGTCTTTATGGAAACAGCTGCCAGGATGAAACTATCTCTGAAGATTTCATCATATTTTTTATTAATATTAATTTCTTTGCTACTTTTTAGTGTTTTCATACTAAAATCATCTTCTTCGTGTCGTCAGATGGAATGCTGCGGATGGACCGGTCCTGGCAACTGGTCAGAAAACATTTTGATCAAGAACAGCACGCAGAACCTCTACCCCTGCTCCTGTCGCAACAGCTCCCACCCTGGCACTGACATGAGAGAAGGTGGCCTCTGTGAGAGCTTGTCTGAAAATCTGCCCGTCTTTCAAACGGTACGCTAACACTGTTGATGGTTACCTCCAGCCGTTTCAGAAGGATTCTGCAGCAAAGCACAACAGAGTTTCATCTCTAGCTATCTGACCACAGTTTTGTGTCTCAGAACTACAAACAACAACCAAATGAAACTTGTGAATGTGTTGATGTCATCTGCGAGTCATAAGCGAGTCCTCGGCTGTCTCTTCTGATTGAAGACACATCTGAGTTGTACCTGTGTTGGGTAACTCCAGCTGCCAGCTCAGCGTGGCACGTTACTCAGACATAATCAGCACTCTTGAGACTACTGGTTTGCACTGTGTGATTTTTTTAAACAGCAGGAAACCTCCACTGTTCTGTTGTTTCCTTCAGAAACATGGAGTCCCCCCTCAGCCCAGCTTAGCTCTGTTATTCTTCCCCCCACGGACTCTGTCCAAAGCCAACAGCCACGCTGTGAAAAGGCTCAGAACATGTCCGTCTGCGATCACACACCCATTTACCCTCACCCTTCTGAACCCCGTGTTGCTCTCTGTTTCCTGTTGCAGGGTTGCATAAGCAGTGTAGAGAAATGGCTGCTGGAAAACTGTGGAATCATTCTGGGGATATGTGTTGGAGTGGCAGTTGTGGAGGTAATTTACCAGTTATCCTTTGATTGGGATCATTACAGAAAAACTGAGCTGAGGCAGGATGGAGAAGATGTCTCAAGAATTCTGGGAAAATCGTAAAAAAATGCATTTAAACTTGGGATTTTCTCTGAGGTTCGAAAGTAATATAAGGAAAACTTTGAGATTTCATGATTAAAGTCATAAATAGAAATGTTTTGTGATTATGAATTTATGAATTAGCCAAAATAAAACTTACAGGTTTTAGATGTCTCCTGCAACTGAAATAGTAAATTTGTAGGAAAATTAAAGGTAAAACTTCTTAGTGATTAACCTGAAATTTACAAAATGATGGTCTTCAAAGTCTGGGAGGAATTTACAGGGAAATAAAAACGTTTTCATATTATCCCAAATACCAGGTAAGTAACGTGCATAAATAATTTAGAAGTTGTTGGAACTAAAAGTACTTTGTTGTAAAAGTTACTCTATTACTTTTTGTTTCAATTTCTGAGGAAACTCAGATTTTTTACTTTGGAAACTTCTCATAAAGGAGGAAACAGTATTACTGAGGGCTTTTTAAACAACACACTGATCCTGGAGTAAAACTACAGTTCTGACTACATAAGGGCGGGGCTTACCAAGCAAGGCCCTCTGGGTAATTTTTTTCAACAATGTTGCATATTGAAAAATTGGCCACTGATTCCGATAAATATTTTACAACTAATGTTGAATATGAATTATTGACGAAGACGAAGGTGTCCTTTCCCCAGTCGACACAAAGCATGGGAACGTTTGATCCGTGGTTTAATAATTTAGTTCTGAGGAAATGTTCTCCGCCCTCAGCTGAAGCACCTTCTGCTCTCTAAACTTCTCCTGACGTCTCCGTTTCCTGCAGCTCCTGGGGATGATCCTGTCCATGTGTCTGTGCAAGAGCGTCGTCCAGCAGGATTACGACAAAGTACCCAAGTACTGAGCTGAGGCTGCGCTCGCATCATAAACACACACACGCACACACACACACACACACACACACACACACACACACACACACACACACACACACACCAGCTGTCTCCACCATTTGTGATCCTCACATCTTTACAGATGTTTAAATCTCTCATTCTCTCTCACACACACACACACCTCTCAAGCAAAGTCTTATTGTGATTTTTTTTGTGTGTTTTTTTATTTTGTTTTGTTTTTTGTTGAAAGCTCAAGAGTTTTATTATCAGAAGCTGGACAAATGTCCATTCTTGTGTTGGCTGTTTTTATGTTCTGAGAGCAGCTCACACCATGCTGTTAGGGAGCACTTTAGTCACACGCAGAACTTTGGGTTCCAGGGCAGAGATTAGGGAGGGAATAAATGGTGTGTGTGCGTGCGTGTGTGTGTGTGTGTGTGTGTGTGTGTGTGTGTGTGTGTGTGTGTGTGTGTGTGTGTGTGTGTGTGTGTGTGTGTGTGTGTGTGTGTGTGTGTGTGTGTGTGTGTGTGTGTGTGTGTGTGTGTGTGTGTGTGTGTGTGTGTGTGTGTGTGTGTGTGTGTGTGTGTGTGTGTGGTAGACCATATGAAGGATTACTGCCACCCTGTGATCTTGCACCTGGTATATTTGTTGCTGTGGGTGGAGGGAGAGCTGAGGTCACAGCTGCAGCGACGGAGGTTTTTGACTTCCATCGTCAGCTCTCTGCACCCAGAAACCCTGATATTAGCCCCCGCTGACCCCCACCCATCACCACCACATCCTCCTCCCTGTTGTTCTCCATCATCCCCTGTGAGCCTCCCTGTCGTACTGCTGGGTCTTCAAAACCAACAGCATGAAGAAAGTGGATGTCATTGTTATATTCTCATGTCATCTGTTGGTTAGCTGTACATAAGTTTCTGCTAGGGCTCAGCGTTTTATATGGGAATGTTTTCACCCCCGCACTCTTGTTTTAAGAGCCCCACTGTTCCCGGCTTCCTCTCCATTGTTTACAATGTGCAGAGTGAGGCGACCATTGCTGCTTGTCAGCGCTATTTTGATCCGAATCAGAGAAACTGGAACCCTGAAAGTGAATCTGTCATCACTCCCAAAGCCATAATTTCCTTTCTTTAACATGGAATCGTTTTGGGAGCAACAAACCACAAACCCTGCCCTGATGTCTTTATTTAAGCTCCTTCACTTTGCCTTTTTTTTTTTACTGTAAGACAACAAGCCACAGTGTGACCTCTGTGGTTTTTCCGCTTTTCTGCATTGTTGTTTTCTGAGACGTCATTTATATTGTTGGTAAGATCACAGGAAGAAAAAAGAAGAGGTTTTGTATTTTTAGAAACATTTTTGACCTAAAAAGACCATTTAGTCAGCACTTTCTTCTGTTATTAATAACATTTCCTTGTTTCATTATCCCACTCCTTCCACTACATTTCAGACACGTATTTAGAGCAGAGTTTTGGGTGACTTAGTGAGCAGGTTGCACTTTCACGTGGCCCGTGCGGTCTTATCACACCGTGTTCATTCTGCTCCGACGCGGGTAGGAGAAACCTGCCAAACGGTCACAGTTACAGTCCACTTCCTGTCTTTTGTTCTACATTAAGTTAAGTTGAGGTAAAATAATGAAGGTTTGTTTTTGTTTAAAATGTTTTGTACTCAGATGTTTGTTAGAGAAAAAATGTGGATCTAAAAGTCTTGTTCAGACATTTTTATGTACCTTTTTTGTTATTGAGAATATAAATAAATCTGAACCACAATCTGTTGATCTAACTGTTTTATTTCTTTTTCACCAGAGTGTGTGAGTGCGTGCACGTGTGTGTTTCCTCAGGGTTCTGTCTATGAAGTCCATGTGTTTAGTACATTGAAGAATCCAGAAGAGGGCAGTATATCCCCATTAGTACTTCAGTTACTTGTACTAAATAAGTAGAATTATTGTATTGTTTGCTTTTAAATATAGGGTGAAATACTTAACACAATTCTGTAAATCATCATGTACAAAAGTTGCATTTTTAGTTAAAACCCAGTTGGCTCATGACCTTTAACCCTCCAAGCCTGCTAAGAGGAATTTGCCAATTTTCCTGTGGCTCAACAAACAAACATTAACTTCACTTGTAAATCAAGACTTCTGTAACTGCAGTGGCACCTGACTCATTAGATCCTATAGGTGTAAGATGTGTTTTACAGTAAACGAGGCAAAAATTCTTCATGACGTTTGAATCAAAACAAAGCATTTCACTCACATCACTAGCACACATAACCTGATGTACATGCAACAGCATGCAGATAAACAGGCAGTGTTTTTTTTAAACACTTTGTATTCAGGTTTCAGTGAGTTGACAAGCTTCTCACTCATTTTGACCTAATGGGAGCAGAGGACTAAAGGTGGACAAAGCTGGAGTTTAAAACCCAAAACTCTTCTTGCTGCAGGACGAATCACCAAAGGAGAACACATGAACAAACAAACTGTTCGTGAAATTAAAGATTTAGGCAAGGCAGCTTGATTTATAAAGCACATCATACACAGAAGCAACTCAGTGTGCTTTCCACGACGCGTGCAAGGTCATCAAGCACATCGAACGTTAAAATCAATGTGACAACATAAATCAGGAGCTTCTAAAATCTAATTTCAGTTTAGATTTAAATGTTTCTAGAGTTGGGGCACATCTGAGGTCATGAAGAAGCTGATTCCATCTGTGTGCAGCATAGGAGCTAAAAGCAGCTTCTCTCTGTTTGGTTCTGGCCAGCTGACTGCTTCCTAAGGATCTTAGAGTCCTGCTGGGCCTGTGTACAGGAAGGAGCTCCAACATGCCTTCTGGCCCCATACCACTGAGGGATTTGTAAACTAGTAGAAGCACTTTGAAATTGATTCTGTAGTTTACTCCACATCGAGAGGAGCCAGTTGAAGTGGCTCAAGCATCTGGTCAGGATGCCTCCCTGGTGAGGTTTTCTGGGCACGTCCAACCAGGAGGAGGCCTAAAGGTAGACTCAGGACACGTTGGAGGGACTATGTCTCTCACCTGACCAGGGAACGGCTTGGGATTCCCTCAGAAGAGCTGGCCCAAGTGGCTGGGGAGAGGGAAGTCTGGGCCTCTTAGGCTGCTGCCCCCACGACCCAACTAAGCGGAAGAAGATGGATGGATGGATGGTGTTTACTGGTAATCAGTGTAGAGATTTAAGGACAGGAGTGATGTGCTCAGATCTCTTGGTTCTTGTTAACCCTCCCACTGTCCTAATGGGTGTGACCCCGCGAGGAAAGTTGACCATTGAGCAGGGTTGATGGTTTATCCCTTGAGGTCCATGTGGCAGGGGTGAGGAGTGAGCATCACCTCACCCCTGCCACGTGGACCTCAAGGGATAAACATCAATCCTGCGCAATGGACAGCTTTCCTCACGGGGTCACAACCATTAGGACAGTGGGAGGGTTAAGACTCTAGCACAGGGGTGTCAAAGATGTGGCCCGCGAGCCGGATCCGGCCCGCAAGCAGGTTAAATCCGGCCCGCGAGATGGTTGTGTAAACTTTATTTTCATACTTTACAGTGTAGAGTGAAAATAAACTTATCTTTTTTAGCAAGTTTTCTCTGTAATGAGTATAAATAAAACAAAGCTGCGCTCAAGGCTCACACAAGAACTTGAATCACATCCTGAAGTTGGCCGCCACTCAGGATGTGACTTCTGATATTGATGTGCTGGTGAAAGCTAAAGGATGTAAAGTAAAATGAGTCAAATATACTTTAAGTGCTGCATGAAATTGATCTTGCCATGTGATCTGTAGCTCTTTGAATCACTAAGGAATGTTTTTTTTATTTGTTTATTTATTTATTTTTTCAAATTTTCAAGTACACTTCAGGTTTTGTACTTGTACTACACTGTCCTCAGGCTCCAGCCTTGTTTTATATTGATTGTATTAAAACAAAGAAAACAATCTGAAGTTTTTTTTTTTAATTTACCGGTCCGGCCCACTTGGGACTAACTTCCCTCAATGTGGCCCCTGAGCTAAAATGAGTTTGACACCCCTGCTCTAGCAGCAGCATTCTGAATAAGCTACTTTCTTCACAGCTTTATTTGAGAAGACCAGACAAAAGATCATTGCAATAGTCCAGCCTGCTGGACATGAACGCATGAATGAGTTTCTCTAGGTCTTGTCTGGACACGAGACCTCTGACTCATGCTATTAGATGAATATGATAAATGCTTTAATGTGATCAGTGAAGCTCAGGTCTGAATCAATTATGACACTCAAAGTTTCTAGCCTGGGTCTTGGTGTTTATTCCTCTGGAGCTAAGCTGAGCAATAACCTCCTTCTTATTCTTCTTATTTCCAAAGACAATAACTTAAGTCTTGTCTTTCTTTAACTGGAGGAAATTTGATTGCATCAATCATTGACATCTCCACCTTAGCTTGTTTTCTCTAAAATTAGATCCTATCACCATATTTTCTTTTAGTCAGAGCAAATATGACACATCTTACTGTTGCTAAAAAGCAGTTTGTGGTTTATTACACTAAAATATCCCTAACAAATAATTTATTTCTCAAAATTCTTTTAGAAATGTTGGTTTTTCATATTTCCTGTTTTTTCAATTAAGATTTTATTTCATTTTCACCTAATCTGTAACACGACAGTGTTTTCTGATCAGTAGGGAACCAACTTGCATGTGTAATCTTTGGACGAAGTCAACGATCCTGACACAAACAAGTTGTTAACTGCTGCCTGCACTTATGTAACTTTGATGTTTTCCCTCTCTGTGCTAGGTGCTAAAAACATGCCTTTACTCTGGCAGCATGATTTACTGCTGCTGATGTCGCTGGATTCGTCTGAACACAGATATACATTACATAGGTCAAACGCAAAAGAGGAAGGATGCTCCTCTCACACGTCTGTTGGCGAGGTGGAGGCAGAGGAAGTAAGATGGGGTGATTCCTCTGAGACCAAATGAAATAAAACAAGAAAGGATGAGCATCAAACAACTGGACGGGGTTTAAAGGATGTTTTGAAGGATTTATGTAGAACGCTGCTCTTCTCATTGAGCAAACAAGATGAATCTTTTACTTCTGTGACTAGTTTTCTCCCCAATAAAGTGCGCCTTCCACTAAGTTAATGCCCATTAGATGATGAGGGAGGTCTCGCTGCAGCTGGACCTTCCTAGCATCCTGCCATCTGTCCCCTGGACCCGTCCAGTCAGCACCCACCACCTCCACCTACAGACTGACCGCTCCCTTCCTCCCTCGTCTGACTTTCCTGTTTTCCATCTCTCTGAGCCATCTCACACAAACAAAACATGTGCTCTCTCTCTCCGCTCCACGTATCTGCCCCAAAGACACGTATAATAACATAACAGGTCGGGTCTATCCGGAGTCTGGTGCGGATTACTTTTAAAGCCTCAGGAGCTCTAATCAGGAATGAGCAGTATGAGTCACAGTGCCTTAGTGTGAGTTGGAAAGAGGATCAGTCGAGTTCCATTAGCTGTTTAAATTGTTTCGGAGATAGGCAGGGACATGGCAAGTGGCTTCAGGTCAGTAGGTGTCCTCCGCCTCATTTCCTGCCCAGCGGCTTGTAGAGTCTAGAAGACTGATAGACTGTCTCACACTCAGATCCTTCCCTTCTCCTGCCTCAGCTCTTTTTACCTCTGTTCTTTCCCTTGTGGGCGAATTTAGTTTGATAAGGGAGAGCTCCCCTCTCCACGTGGCCTCTGCAGAATAAAAGCTGCTAAAATCACTCTGGCACAGCTCCAGCGACTCGCCAAATGCAAGGCTCCACCAGAAGAGTAAAAACAGAATAAGAAGGAACGAAATACAAAAATAAAAAGGCACAGCTGGATTATATGGTTTTCTGCTCTGCAAAAGGCCTGGGATCTTCCATAAATGGAAAATCGATATATTCACTGCTCTGAGCCCGTTGTGTAGTTTTAGTGTTCTATGAGCATGACATGAACATGAACGTGTATTCGGGAGACCAGACTTTTCACCCACACTATAGTAAACCTGGATATTTTGAGCCTCCTTTAAAACAGGATTTTTTTAAGGTTCATATAAAAAAATTATGGGGTGTTTCTCAATGTTGAGGCATCTTGCCTTGAGAGGAGATGTCTTGTGAGGCCAGGCGCCTTGCTTACGAGGACACTGTCCTTCCTTGGTCAAAGAAAATGGTTAAATGGAACAGGCTTGCAATCACGTGACCATGGCTTTCCGCTGTGGTCACGTAATGTCACGTGACACGGGCAATGACGTTATATTTTTTACTTATTAGTTTCAAAATAAAAATATAATGAGCCTTTTACTTTTTAAATTGTGTATTTATTTATCAAAGAAACTATGCAAGCGAGTTACTACCCGCTAGCCACTGAAGCTGCAACTACTAAGCAACCAACCAACCATAGATAACTTCTTCAGATCTAAAAAAAAAACATTTTAAATTAGTTGACTTACTTTTAAACTTGAAATTTGCCCCCAAAGTAGCTGCCGGCTTCCGATCCGCCATCCTTTTGAAAATACCGCGGTGTATTCTGGGTAATTTTTGACAAAGGCTAGGCCACAAGACACCTCCCGTGTATCCTTGCTCAGCTAGCTAAACGGCTAACAAACGGAGAACACAGGCCTCAGTAGAACATGAACATTGGAACACGTCTTGGCCGCTCCTGATGACGTATCTCCTAGGCAACCGGGGCGGGGCCAAGACATCAAGGCGATGTTCCTTGGCATTGAGAAACACCCTGGTCAGCCATTGTACCAGGAAGTAGGCAGAATTCCTTTTCCAAGCTT